TTCAGTTCATCATGAGGCTTCATCTCACCATCACTAGATGACTGTCCCATTTCTTCATCTTCTTCACCGTGAGAAACTCTTACGTTGCATAGTTTAAAAATAGTTTTTAAAAATCATTTGTTTCAGAGCATTTGGCTAAAGCTCAGCCAAGTATGGCCCCGTAGACTGCACTAACATTATTAAAGGCATATCTTTGTTCTAGACTTTGAGAATAATACTCCTCCTTTCTCTCTCTTCTCCCTTTTAGTTCTGCTGAGCTCCCTATGAAGTCCATACTCAACACTATGAATCAACCTCAGCTCATATGTCTACTTCATTTGTCATGAAATAACAGGGCACCAGACCTCACCTGCCCATTAAAATACATGTACAGACAGTCCCCCATCTGAAAATGAGGGACTGTGAATAGAAATCTCTGTAACTCTTAAAGTCTTAATGGAAAACATCTTAGTCTTAATGGAGAACACCAACTAAGGGTTAAAAATCCACATCCCAAATTCCCCCTCAATATTTGATACTTTCCTAACTTGATTTTCATAACTTTTATCTTGAAGGCGCCCATTCCAGGTTTAAGTTGCATTTAATTCTAATTCTACATCTTAGATAATAGAAAGAATTTTTCTTTAAAAAAAAATGAAAAAAGTTGTAAATCCTTTCTTACTTATTAAACCCAGATGCTTTAAAATTGGTAGAGACCACAGCTCACCTTGGGAGGCACAAACCAGCAGGCGCACAGAGAGCAGAGTCCAGCCAAGAAACACAACCATTCTCACCCTCCGATAAATGAAATGATGAATGAAAACTAAAGTGCTGAGAAAGCTAAAAATTCTGACTGTGAGGAGTGGGAGGAGTTAAGTGGGAACAATGCAGTGGGCGTGGGTGAAAGGCTGTGTTAAGATACTAACCCTGTGTTTGCCTACTGGTGGTGGTCAGAGGGCCCGGTGGCGCCAGTGTCCGGCAGCCTCGCCTCTGTCAGTGCGCCCCAGGGTGGCTGTGGCTACAATGTAGCTGCCATCACCAGTGTGTGAATGGGTGGATGACAGGTTGTGTAAAGCGCTTTGGGGTCCTTAGGGACTAGTAAAGCGCTATACAAATGCAGGCCATTTACTATATAGGCTTCCTGTCTTTCTTATTGCATTTCCTTTCCCTGTTCCCTGTATGCAATTTAGAAACACTTCAATTAGAATAACAATAACCTAAACCACAGACTGAGCAAAGCTGAAAAAATCTGTTACATTATTAAAGTTCAATAGTTAAAACCACCGACTGTTTTTTATTTTATTCGTGTGTTCTGTGTTTCTTTCTTCTTCTTCTTTTTTTTTTTTTTTTACTGGTGGTTAATCCCATCAACAGGACACAAGTTTTCCTTTACAGCTTTTGTAGAAAAGCACCAAAAATATCCCGATCTGTAGACAGAACACGCTTAATGAATCATATAATTAGAGGTTAGGTCAGTGTGAGTCAGAACCACCCCAAAGGGTCATATTCACTAGAGATTACCTGGGACCTCCATCCACATAAGTGCTTTTACAATTGTCACAGTTCTGGGTGATTTTGACCAAGCATTTTCAGTTTCTTATGTTTTGGTTTGTTTTTGCATTATGGATTATTTTCTGATTCTCTGGTGTTTTGCTGATCATTATTACTAATCTATGTTTCAGGTATTCTTGGTGAGCGATTAGTTCTCAGGTTGTGTCTGGTGTTTTGTAAAGGTTTAGTTCAGTGTCAAGTCTGCGTCTCTGTTTCTTGTCTCCTGTTTTATTGTCTAGCTTTGCTCCCCCTGTCTCGTTAACCCTGATGTCTCCCTCCTGTTTCTCATTCCTGACTTCCTCAGTGTATTTAAGCCCCGTGTTTCTTTGTGTCAGGGTTGTGTTGTACCCTCAGATTTGCTTGTGTGTTTCTGTTCACTGTGCTCTTTGTCAGTTCATGTTTTGTTTCGTCACCAGCAATAAACTTGAGGCATTGAGTTGCAATTCAGTCTCCGGGTCCTGCGTTTGGATCCTCATCTCCGCCTGCCCGCACACAGAGCCCTGACTGCAATAAACTACTGTGCAGTACTTACCGTGCTTGCTTAATAGTACAGGCCTCCGTACTCAGCTCCACTCAAAACCACTTCATGGCATTTCACCTGCTGTGCACATTTATGGTTTTTAGTTTTATAGAGGTCGGCACTCCACATTCCCAACACGTGTCTCTGTAGTTGTATGAATTCCCAGCCACAACTATAGCTTATCCTTATCCTTTGCTTTTCTGTTTGGTTGTTATGTTTTATGTTATTCTTGATAACGAATAAAAATTGTATATCATACCCAGTGATGGGTTTGTCTAGCATAAACCTATTTGCTGGAACGTTCAAGATAATTCTACTGCACAGCAACGCAAGAAACAAGTAGGCAACGTTCTTGTGTCACTCGCGCACAAGGGAGAGAACTAGATGAGCGCCAATCCTTCGCTTGACCACAGTTATTTTGTCTGCGTGGGTGATCTATGCCAGAATACTCTGAAGAGGAGTGAACGCACTCCCCTCTTCACACTATGCAGACTTGTTACAGACCCCCTAGGATGAGACATTCTTTCAATCTACAAATGATTATATACTTCTGAATGATTATACATTTCTAAATATATATTTCTAAGCATAAATGACAATCCTACAATATGAACCTGACACCCAGTTAACATTTGCCACGACTAACATTATCTGACAACAGTTTACTGAGTCCTGCTGTTGACAGTTCTCAGGACACAACATGTATGTACTCTGTACTAACAATAGACTGAGACGGCAACAAAAGAACATGAAGCAAATGCAGATGTATAAATACACAAATCAACAAATCTTTAAAAACTTGAGTTTGCAGGACACTTTGGAAGAGTAGCTTCTGCTCACATTCATGCAGAGCCAACATCTCCCTCTACTGGACGTAAAAAGTACCTCAGGGAGGTTTTAAGTTAACCCATTCATCTTCAGAGAATCCAGAGACGTCCCAGTGCACAAAGCACCAGGCTGCAGACTGTGAATGCTGAAGGTGTTGAAGCCCTCAGGCAGCACTGCAATAAACACAGACTTACAGGTCACTGCAGGAACTCAGGAACACCTCTGAAAATGATCAGCAGCAGCTAACCCAGCTTATCACTACATATACACTAGTTACTTTACTAAAAAAGGGAGATTAGTTTGGACTCCTCTTCCTGGTCATCTGTGCTACATGGGTGGGATCGTGTTGTGCTGTCTGGCTCTCACTCGGTCTTGACTGGAGTGTTTCTGGTCTGACACACTGGTTTCCATTGTGGCTTGGGCTTCACTCTAGGCTGCAGCCACTTGGGGCATCTGGGCTTGTGTTGGTTCCCATTACCCTAAGTGTGTGGTGGTTTTCAGGCTCTGGTGATTGCCTGTTGCTGTTTCTGCCAAACACTTAACCCAGGGAGAGTTTAAAAAAAAAAAGGGGGGGGGGGGGTAACTATATATTAGAAGAATACAAAATGGTTTATGTCTCAACCTGTAGCTGGTGGCACATACGACAATTTGCAACCTTTATCAACGACAAGAAATGCTTGTCTATGATTTCCTAAGGTTTGTACATTTGTTGTGGGATTAGGACATGCACTAGCATAAACATGTACTATCTCGAAGGAAATGAGCTTTTTATGGGTGGAACCAAATCAATTTCTCTTGTGTCTGTGTATTTGGGGGATCTATTGATTGATATAGAAGCAGGGACCGCCGAGCTCCCAAACATAAGTTAGTTTAGTGTTTTTCTCTCTCTCTGAAAAACAATCATTTAATGCCAGAGAAATCTGAACGTGATTTCGAGCTCTTACTTGGTAGAAGGAAGGAGAAAGAGAGAGAAAACTAAGCATGGTGAAGTGCGAGCAAACAGTTGTTTTAACATCCTGATTACCACCATAGGTGTCAACAATCTGACCACAACGGCGAGCCCTAAAATAACCCAACAGGGACTATGACACATGCTTTTATATATGGAAACAGACATATATGAAGAGGAAGGACTGGGTCACTATATGTTGTCACTGCTGATGAGAAACAGCAGATTACTAAGAGCAACAATGGAGGAAACATTTCTACTTTATCTCTGTGAGTAGATTCTCTCTGTTTACATTTCTGTACTTTAACCATCTGCTGTTGATGAGTTATTATGGAGAAGGCACGAAATATTTACGTCAGACTGAATTCATCTTTAGAACATCTTGAGGACGAACATGATCAATATTGTGAGTGATCAATGGTCGTGACAATTTGCATATTAATGATCACTGAACTGACTTCACAGCCCAATGTTCGTCAGTGGTGCTAGTTTCAGTCATACCTTATAAGATTGGGAAAACCTGCAGTCAGCTGAGACTGAAGAAGTCACTTGGATGAGCGACGAAAGGTTTCTCCCACTGAAAACGCTTCGTCCAGATGAACAGAATCAACTTTTTTAGATTTTTGAGATATACAGTAATAAATAAGCAATAAAATAAAAAGTAGGCTAAATGAGTGAAGAATGAGTTGTTGCCAGTGTTGATGTATATTACCTTGCTGCACAACCATATTAGGCAAAATCTTGAGGTGAATGTCATTGTAAATTGGTGCTATATAAACAAAACTGAATCGACAACAAATGGCCAGTCATATTGCTGTAACTCAGTATGATTGACCTATTGCATCCAAGTTGTGCAGAAGAACATTTCTGACAACCCAACATGTGGAAAGTTAAAGCTGATGTGCCACAGCACCACATGCATTAGAGAACCTTTTGGATTTGGTGAAAGGAGAGCTTTGAATTGTGGACAAGTAGCTGACAAGTCTTCAGCAACTGTGTGATGATATCTTGCCAATATAGACTAAATTCTCTGAGGTGAATAAATTTACGCCATGAAGAAGGCAAAAGATGGTTGAAACCAGTACTAGCAAGAAATGTTATATAAAGTATCCATTTAGAATCGGAGATCATTTATGGAGACCAGTTTCATCCCTTCTGTTGCTTTATCTACATATGATAGTATTTGTGGATATACCCACCCTGCTGCCAGTCCCGTCTGAGACCTCCCCCAAACTGCAGCCTCAATTCACTTTCAAGCTGCTTGAAATGCTGTCAAACCTGAAGTGAGGCTGTGGTCTCAGTGAGTGAATTGAGCAGTATGATGTCACCAGTGCCTGCAGACAACTTGTTTGGTAATGCAGCAGCAGTGTGGTGTCCTTTCCTCTGATGTTACGGTAAATGGGTTAGACCAGTCTCACCAATGAGGCAAGCTGTGGCTCAGACTGTCTGTTAAACAGCTGCCAGCTTAAATTAACAATCAATATTCTAATTCAAGATTATTAAGTCATTCTCAATACAAGTAAAGCATAAAAGTCACTTTCAACTTTAGCGAATAAAACTAAAAGCCTTATTTCAGGAAGTAGAGCAGGTAGCACTATGAGTGTTAAACGCAAACGCAGTTGTTCTGCGTTTGCGTTTAACACTAAGATGATGCATTAATCTGTGTGGAGCATCTATTTTTTCAGTCTGTGATTAACAGGAAACTGGCAGCTGTGCAGTGATCTAGTTTCCTGTTTCTGATGAAAACACTTTAACTGCTCAGGTTTTATTTTTAGGACTGCAGAGTTTTCTTGCACAGTAGCAGCATAAAAAAGAAAAAAAATCAAGACATTACTTTGTAGTTCTTGGAGGTGTCTGCCCTATACAATGCTATCCCAGATTCAATACTTTATAACCCAGATGCAACCTCTCTTGTCTGTATTTGCTTATGGTACGCCCTCTTTACCCTGCACATTAAAAAAAAACACCTATATACGAATGGCATGGATCTCTGCATCTTGATCTCATTGCAGGTCTATCCAAACTTCTCGCTGTACTTTTGGAGGTCTCTTTACTGTGTAGTCCTGTTTCTCCTCACTTCTCTGGTGATGTTGTTGCCTGGATTCTACAGTGCATCATATCCATCTCTATCTTCTTTTTCTTCCATCTAGTGTCTCCTCTTAATATGTGGTTGCCACATAATAAAAGGAGACACCAGAGTTTAATGTTCCTTGGTTACCTTTAGAAAACTAAATTGTTTTCCTCTCGGTGATTCAGTGAACTGTTTTATTTCTCTTCAGTTCTGATCTTAGTGCTGAGCTGTGCAGCAAATCAAGGTCAGTAACCTCATTATGTTAAATGATCAAGTCTGTTACTCCTTCTTTCAGTGGGGGTCACTAATGTAAAACTACTGAAAGTAGAAATAATTTTGTGGCATTATTTTTAAAAAAGATCAACATAATTTTTATTTTAACCCTCACAGCTCGTCTGACTGTGAGTCCCAGCAGCTCTCAGTTCTTTGATTATGACTCTGTGTCTCTGAGCTGTGAGGAGGACGACAGCTCTGCTGGATGGACTCTGAGGAGAAACACAAACATGGAAAACAGGACTCTGTGTGGGGTCGACTGGGGAAAAAAGAATAGTTCTTCCTGTAAAATCACTGATCTCTTTATATGGGACAGTGGAGTTTACTGGTGTGAGTCCAATCAGAGTACCATCAGTAACATGGTTAACCTGACAGTCACTGGTAAGCTGAGTGTGTGGAGTTAGTGTTGATGAAGCTGTGTGTAAATGGATGAAATGCTGTAGTTTGTCTCTGTGTTGAGGTGGATCAGTGATCCTGCAGAGTCCTGTCCTCCCTGTGATGGAGGGAGATGACGTCACTCTGCTCTGTAAAACAGAGACCACTCCCTCCAACCTCACAGCTGCTTTCTTCAAAGATGGCGTCTTCATCGGAAAAGAGCCTACAGGTCACATGACCATCCAGCATGTTTCCAGGTCTGATGAAGGCCTCTACAAGTGTGACATCAGCGGTCATGGAGAGTCTCCATCCAGCTGGATCACTGTCACAGGTGACACACTCACCTGTCTGTGTTTCTGCAGCTTTCAACATTCACAATGTGACGACAACTTAATGACTGTGTTTGCTTTGTTTTAGACAAACCCACCACCACACCTCCACCTACATCCACACCTCCTCCTGGTTGCACCTCTTGTGATACATCCCTCTCCCCACCTGTTGTCTCTGTGTTGTCATTCTTTTTAACAGTCTGTGTTGCAGCTCTACTCATTTCAATAATTCTGTTGATAAAACTTTGTGATGTTAGAAAACCTGAAGGAGACACTCGGACCTCTGGATTTGACTCAGGTTTGGTTTTTTCAGAACTATGTACAAGTATATCAATGACTTTAAACATGTCATCAAAACTTGCACAGCGTCATACTGCTGTTCCTTTTGGTTTGCTTCAGCTAATCAAGTGGAAGCTATAGAAGACAATCCAATCAGTGACATCTTATGTGACATCGGACAGAGCAGAGGTGGTGTTCATGCTCTTTGTTTCTACTAATGAACAAATAAATGAATAAAAAATGATTATCTGCTCTTCTTCCCTTTTCTGGGAGGCAGTGGGGAGGTAGAGCGTACAGACCGATCCAGCGGGGAGGTGTGGGAAGCTAGATCAGGCGCCCCCCTTCTGGCTCTCCTCTCTGCTCTCTCCTATCTTGTCCCTTTTGTCTTACTTCTCTCTATCACCTTTTCTATCCCTTTAAAGAAGTGAAGCTCCATAAATGCTAAAGAGTTAAGCATTATTTCTCAGTTGCAGTGAATAGATAGAAAATAAACTGTAGGAACCTAAACAGAAGAAAGAAGAAGAGAAATAACAATTTAACATAAACCACAGACACACTCCAGGGCCTGATCAACCCTGGCAGGGCCTCCTTGATGAGGGTGTCTAGTGATAATGGCCGAAACACCCGATGAATCCAAGGTCCAGTACTGGCGATGTGTCCCAAATCTTAATATGATAATCTAGATCAGAAATCTAATCCCCCTAAAAATGGCAGATTAGCCTGGGTTAAAGACCGAAAGTTGAGGCACACAACGATGTCTCTGGGCTGCCTTTCCTCATAACAGCCATCCCTCAAGATTCTCGCCATTTAAAGTAATGCATTATCAGGGACTACAACATCTAGTCCTTTTACTGAATCGAATAAATAAATCACTCAAATAAACAAATAGCTCATCCTTTAGCTACCTTTTGACTGCCAATTGACCTTTGACCTTTCTGTTTACATCATTCTCCTTGTGTCTGTGTGGGTTTTCTCTGGGCGCTCCAGCTTAGTCCCACTGCCTAAGACATATGAGTGAAGTTATTTGGTGATTCTCGAGTGATTGTGATTGAGTGTGGATAGTTTGTCTTGCTACAGTCTGTTTTGTATCGCATCTTTCACACTAAGCCTGGGATAGTCTCCAGACCCCACTTGAGCATAAAGTGCTAAGTATTTTTTTAAACAGGTCGAAAGTAGTTGTTGTGTGTTTGTTGATGAACCATAACAGGGAGCATCTATTGTTTTTAGCCTATGATTAACAGGAAACTAACAGCTCTGTGGATTCCAGTTTCTGATGAAAACACTCCAGTGCTTTTTTATTAATAGACATGAGCCTCCAGAATTTAGTCCATCGTCCTCAGCCTCTCCAGCTTTTTATATACAGATGTAAATTGACTGATACTAAAAAGAACGCATAGATATAGATAAAGGACATGAATGATTTTTGTATCTTATTCAAATCAGCCGCAGAGGTAGCTTTCAGGCTGTATAACTTGCATTGATGTCCTCTGTGTGTTTTGTTCCGCAGGGATAAATCGGCATGTACTCTACTCAACAGTGAGGAAAAAAACACCACTTATTCACAAATCGTGAAAGAGAAACAAATCAAAGTCAACAGGTACGGCTGCTCTCCTTTGTCTCTGTCATTGTTCCGAATCAGAACAAGATCCCAGCACGTTGATATTTTAGTCTGTATCAAAAGGACACTGATCAATGGCCTTGAGTCCCATTCACAGAGAGTTGGGGAATGGCTGCAATCACAGCATTGTAAGATGGTGACAGATGTACCCTTAGGCTCTTTTCACATAAATGGTGTCCATGACTTTCTGCTCAAACCAGCTTTCATGTGTACATCCTCATCATTGAAAGAGTGTCCACTGGCCTGTAGCCATATATAGACTGTGACGTTTTGGCATTTGTGCCGGGGCGCTCGATTCTTGGGGCAGACCAGTTTTTGGCGCAGCATATTTTGGGGTTTTG